CATCTCCCACGATCTTATAGCGCTTGACTCTTCCCCCATGACCGGCGACAGAAACACACGGACGTCGGTAACCTCGGATCCATGGCGGCAGTACAACGACGCGACGAACAGCATCGTTCCGATCTGTTCTGCAAATTCCAGCTTTGATTTCTTCTTTCCAACGACTCTCGACGTTGACCCACTCCCAAACGAAGCCTGATTGTGATACCCACCCTTGTACGAGGTCGGTTTACGCTACCTACGCCTTTTCGAGCTAGATCTAAGTTTCCCAACGATTTCGAATGTTGGAACATTTAATTAACTTGTTGTTTTTATGTTTTTAATGCTTAGGTGTGGGATCGACGCAAGAATTAGGAGTGCGGTTGCGTGTAAGTAGTACCAGGGGTGGGTGTGTGCGTTGTGATGTGTTATTTGAATGGTTTATTGCTGTATTCTAATATGAATCGTGTGTCATTTGTATTTATAGTTGTGGGTCATGATTGGAGAAATTCTGTTAAATACTGTTGGCTTTGCATCTTGCTGTGCTCCTATATATTATGTAAATATGTTGAGTCATGATTGTTGGATGTAGTTGGTAGTTTTTTATTAAAAATGGTTGGAAGTAGTTATGTTGGGTGATTGAATACATGTTCTGGATTTGGATGTATGGGCTAGCTTTATGATTATTGGGACATGACAATTGTTGAGTTAGGAGACATGTACTTACTAGTTTGAGAACTGTGAATTTTATTTCTCTCTTTGTATGAATGAAAAACATATTGAAAATGGTGTTGCGAATAGAAGCGTAAATGACTTGTCGATGCCCTGAAGAGATTAGTTGTGATTTATCTGAAGTGATAGGACAGACTGGTTGTTTTGTTTATTGTGATTTGTTTGAAGTGGTAGACAAGACTAATGGTTTCATTACTGGGGGACCTTGTGGTGCGTGACCTGGAAGTCACGGGATAGAATCTTAGCAGGAAGCTGAGAGTTGAATGTGTGGTTTATCGTGAAATCGAAAATGAATGGAGAAATACATAGCCTCGGTGGCAAATGGCCGGGGCTGGTACGTCACTACTGGGTGTCGAGGCTCCGAGTGCAAAAGGTCGGGGTCGATAGGCCTCTCTTTGTAGAGATGACTGTCGAGGCTCCGAGTACAAAAGGTCGGGGGTCAGCATGATGAGTCTATTTGATGATTAGTGTTGAGTCTTGACGTGGTGGTGGTCAAGAACCAATACGCCTAGTATACGTCGAGGCCTTGGGTATAAAAGGTCAAGGGTCGATGCACAGTTCAAGGCCTTGAGTAAAGGTCAAAGTCGAATGCCAAGCTTCTGTAGAGGAGTATCGGGACCTTGGGTACAAAAGTTCAAGGGCCAATACGACTCGAAGTGTTAGACTTCGAGGACTAACATAATGTAATGGGCTAGAAGGAGTTTTGGGAAGCTAGAGGTCAGTGGGCTTTGTGGTCAAAGTTACGTGAGTAATGATACCTTGGATGCTTGTGTGTGCGCATTGATGACCGTCATGACCTATCGTTGTATGATTACTAGCTATCATGTTTTGATGATTGTTGTGATTACGAGCATGTTGTTTGTGTATAGTTAGTGAGGGCTACTAGCAGGCCTTGTGGTCGGGATTACTTTGATTGCATGTGTGGGCTAATGAGCATTATGATTTATTAATACATGGATGTCAGTTTAATATTTTGTAATGAATGTTGTATGCTGAGCATGTTGTTTGTGTGGTTAGGGAGGGCTACTTACAGAGTATTTTATATACTCACCGCCTCCCCCCTGCAATTATTGTTTCAGGTGAAGGTACGGGTTACGATCATGATGATGGTGCGGAGGAAACTTGAGAAAAAGGACTATAGCTAGCTTCCGTTTAGTTTCAACTTGTCTGAAATAGGTTGTTATGAGTTCTTGTTGTTTTAGTTTATGTCTTCTGTTTTGAACATTGATTTGTGTAAAGTTCAGGGAGTTATTAGAATGTTTTAGATGACTTTTCTTTTAAGGCTGGACTTTTGTAAAGATTGGGCCTGACTGAGGTTATGTTGAACGCACGCACTAAGCGTGGTAACAATTCTATAGATGCAAGCGCACACCTGTCAGAGTAATATAAATTAGATGGAGTATCCAAGTATCGATCTTCAAGGACTTCTAAATAATTTCCAAACTCTAAAGTTTTAATGAATAGTGAACGTTGAAATGAGTGATTGTAATGCCCCAGAACATTTTACACTATTCTAGGTAACGTTATCCATTTTTCCCTGTCAAATATTATTTTCTAAATTTGAAATAGACAACTCCCTGTGAACAAGTTATAGAAACATAGTTCCAACTCAATTCGATACATCAAACTATAACAAAAAAATAAAACATCAATTCTATAAACTATCATCCAAACGTCCCCCGGGACAACACCACCAGGCAACATCCATTATTCCAACTAAACGTTTTCAATGAATGGAAGAAAATAAAAGAAACACTTATTCCGAATCAAGTTTAAACAATAGGTGGGATTTCCCCTCAATTCACTTGAAACAAAAGTTTATTACCAAACAATCATGCAAAAACCACCTAATCCTAAACTAAGCAATGAACACTACGCAACCTATGGTCCTCTCCTGCCTCTCCTGTCATGTCTCCTTTACGTCATCGCCATGGTCGCCAATGAACTCTCCACCTGAAAACAACAATTGTAGAGAGGGGGGGGGGTGAGTATATAAAATATACTTCGTAAGTAGCCCTCATCAAGCACACACAAACATCATGCTCAAAAGCCATAAAGAAAACATACATCGTCATGCTCAAAACCATAAGAAAAACATACATCGTCATGCTCTAACATTACA